AGAGAGAGAGAGAGAGAGAGAGAGAGAGAGAGAGAGAGAGAGAGAGAGAGAAGCAGTCATTCAAGTGTTTGTGATCTGACAGTGGACGCTTCACTTCTATCTTTTGCGATGCAGTGCCCAGGCTTGATAGTGCCATTAACATCCATGCCTATATTGTTAAAATATGTTTTAGTAGTTTTAACTATTACCTTGCTTTTTAGTTGTATTTATTCTCTTAACTATGACATCTAGCCTTATTACTATTATTGTTATTTCCTCTTGCAAATTTGATTTAATGGTAATCTGGTGTTCTCACTTCTTAATTTGTAGGCTTCCTTTATATTTATCTTTCTTGCTTACTTTAATATTTTCCCAATTTTAGCAACAAATTATTATTTTTAAAAGGGGGCTCATAATTAACCTTCTTAATTATATAAAACATGGTCTAACTTAATAATAATATTCTGCATGTATCTCCATATACCTACTACTTGAAACTTGAATATTTATAACTACATTATTTATTGAGTGAATTTATCTCAACAACTGCAATTATTGCTATTATGGTCAACATTTATAGAATATTTATCAGGCATAAATATCTTATTGTACTAGAGCTCACTGACTTCTCAGCACAAACTTCTGGGCCAAAAATTACATTTCCCATTCAGTAACTGGAAAAGTAGATACAAAGGTGCTTAAAGAATAGAGCACAGTGCAAAAGTTATTTCTTTTGGTAGGAAGCATTAAGGGAGATTTTTCTGCACCCAGACAGGCTTTTGTAGGAGAATAGCAGCAGGGTGTGCAGTTAGAAACCTCTTGTTTTGGGACACAGTTTTAGCCTCTGAACAAGTACCAGCCCATCCTACTTCAGTGTCCTGTGCAGTAGTCTTCCACTCTTCCCAAAGGATGCACTGTGGGTAACGTTAGATGAAGTCAGGCTGTTGGAAAAACTTGAACTCAGCTGATTGCCACATAAAATATCCTCACTGGGCTCTTTGTTGAGTGTAAACAGAACTGCAAGTAGAGACTGACCTCCTTCACGGCTCTCTCTCTGGCTTATCTGGAATGGAAAATACTGAGCACTGAAGTGAATGCCACCAAGCATGAGAAAAAAAAGTTGATCTCTTGATGTCACCAGAAGGGAACGTGAAATGCGTATTTTTAACTGGGCTTGGGCAAATGTGTCAGATAAACAAATTTCTTTTGAAAGATTCTCTAAAGCATTGTCTACTTTACACAGAAAAAAAATGTTTGACTTGCATTTTTAGTAGCATTTGTCAAAAGCTGTAATCCAATGTCTGATATTAGTAACTTCTCTTCTTTATTGAGATTGAAGTTTATGATCATTTTCTTCCTTTCATTAGTTGAGGACACACTAGGTACTTCTGAGGAGAATGGAATGATGGTTGACCAGGCATTGGAGCACATCCAGTGTAGTACACACTCAGCCTGTGAACCTGGATGTCTTCAAACTGGGTTATACCAAATGCCACATCTGTGCACAAAACACAGAACAACAAGGTCATAAAAGAAACACTACTACAACTTAGATCATATATTGGCCTTCACATAGTGATAGTGTGTGACTTCAATACCCCATCTTTTCTGGATAATATCTGAGCATCTCATTCAGACAAAGATAGAAGTTGAGAAATGTCAGAGTTAAGTAACATCATAAAACAAATAGACATAACAAATATTTATAGAACATTTCACCCAAATACAAAAAAATTATACCCTCCTCTCAGCAACTCATGGAACTTTCTCCAAAATTGATCACATACTTGGACAAGCCTTGTAGTGAGGAGCTGCGGGCAGACCTGCTTTTCGTCCTGCCCGGCTCCCGCACGGCCAGCTTAGCCCCAGAAATAATAACACATAAGTTGTATTCGTTTAAATACTGCCTGGCCCATTATCTCTACAGAGTTAGTTACTGGCTAACTCTCACATCTTGATTAACCCATTTCTAATAATCTGTATCACACCACAAGGTGTGGCTTACCGGGAAAGATTCAGCATGTCTGACCTGGTCCCTGGCTCCATGGCGTCTGGCTCATAGCCCTCTTCCCAGCATTCTATTCTGTTTACTCCGCCTACCTAATTTTCTGTCCTATCAAGGGGCCAAGGCAGTCTCTTTATTGACCAATGAAAATAACACAATAGACAGATAACCCTCCTCCATCAAAGCCTAAACAGATATGAGAAATCTGAAATAATACCAGGCATCCTATCTGACCACCACAGATTAATGATGCTTATCATCAACAAAAGAACATACACAAACTTATGGAAACTGAGCAACTCATTACTGAATGAAAAGTGTATTAAGTAAACATTACAAAGGGGATTTCAAACTTTATTAAAGTAAGTGAAATTTTTAAAATAAATAAAAAAATATATACCTAAACCTGTGGGAGTCAATGAATACTGTTCTAAAAGGCAAGTGCCTGTATTTAAAAAGTAGGGAGAACTCATATTAGAAATTTAGTAGCATCCCCAAAAGTTCTACAATAAAAGAAAGAATAGCATAGATAAAGAGTAGAGAGCAGGAAATAAACAAACATGGGGCTGGTTTCAAAACAAAGAAAAAAATAATATATACAGATAATCAATGGAAATAAGAGTTGGATCTTTCAGAAAAATCAATAATATTGATAAGCCCTTGGCTAAATTAACTAAAAGATAGAGAAGATGCAAATTAATATAACTAGAGATTATAGTAGGGACATTACAATTGACACTGAAGAAATATTTTAAAAATCTGTACTATACTAAACCAGAAAACATAAAAGAAAGGAATAGATTTCTTGATATGTACACTCTACTGAAGTAAAATCAAGGTCAGATAAGCAGTTTTAACATGCCTGTAAACCCTAGTGAAACAGATGCATTAATTAAATCTCCCAACCCCCACAAGTAAACAAAAAAAGTGAAGACAGATTTAGTTTAGAATTCTACCAGACCTTGAATGAACACTTAATGCTAATACTCTTTAAATTTTTCTTCAAAATGGATTTAAAGGAACATTTCCTATTTTTTTCCAAGACCAGGATTACTCTGATATCTAAACCATACAAAGAATTAATAAAAATAAAAATTACAAACCAATGTTCCTTATAAATACTGATGCAAAAAATTCTCAATACTTGCAAACTGAACCCAAGAACACATCAAAAAGATTACACACCATGATAAAGTAGACTTCATCCCAAAGATGCAGGGATGGTTCAACATACAAAAATCAATACATGTAATACACCACATAAACAGAGTGAAAGACAAAAAACACATGATAATGACATTATATACAGAAAATATGTACAAATTTGACAAAATCTATCATCCCTTCATGATAAAACTCTTGTAGAAAGTAGTGTACAGGGACATATCTCAACATAATAAAGGTGATTTATAGCAAGCTCACAGTAGCATCAACCTAAACAGAGAGAAACTCAAACAATTTCCACTAAAACCAAAAACAAAACAAGGATGCCCACTCTCTCCACACCTATCTAATATAGTACCTGAAGACTTATCTAGGGCCCAAAGACAACTCAAAAAGATAAAGAGCAATACAAATAGAAAAGAAAAAAGTCAAAGTATCATTATTTGAAGATGACATAATTTTATACATAAAAGACCCTAAGCAATCCACCAGGAAACTTCTAGAGTTGATAAGCACTTCCAATAAAGTACAAGCATACAAAATGAACACATGAAAATCAATAGCCTTCTTACACAGAAATGACAGACTGAAATGGAAATCAGGGAAACACTGCCTTTCCCAATGACCTCAAAAAAAAATCTTTGAATAACTTTAGGCAAGCAAGTGAAAGACTCGAATAATAAAAACTTTAATACCCTGAAGGAAGAAATTGAAGAAGACAACAGAAGATGGGAAGGCCTACCAAGGTCATTGATGGGTAGGATTAGTAAAAACGGCTATCTCACCAAAATCAATCAACAGATTAAATACCATCAAAATTCCAACACATTTTTTTCACAGAAATTAAAAAAAACTACTTTAAGCTTCATATGGAGATACTCTCACACACACATGCACATAAGCACACACACACAAAAAAAAACTAAAACAATCCTGAATAATAAAAGAAGTGCTATACATATCACCATTCCCAATTTTAAGTTGTACTACAGTCAGAGGTATGGTAATGAAAATAGCATGGTATTATCATAAAAATAAATATGCTGACCAATGATATTGAATTGAAAACCCAGATGTAAATTCACATAACTCTTGATGTCAACCTGATTTTTTACGAAGAAGTGAGAAATACATACTGGAAATAAAGGCAGCTTCTTCAATAAGTATTTCTGTTTTAACTATATGGGTGTATGTAGAAGAATGCAGAGATCGATACTTTTGACCCTACACAAAAGTTAACTCCATATGGATCAAGGACCTCAACATGGAAGAGAAAATGTGAGATAGTCTTGAACTCACTGGCATAGGAAAAGACTTTCTGATGAAGGTAGGATAACATGGAAGATCAGGAAGGATGAGTTGGGTAAAGGACAGAGAGGGAGAGCAAGTGAAGGAAGCCATTATGGGGTTAGCGAGAAACCAGGCTAACTAAGAAAACTAAGAGAAACTAAGGAAATTCCCAGGAATCTACAAGGATAACCCAAGCTAAGAATCTAAACAATAGTAAAGAGGGTACTTTAACTGCCCTTCCCTTGTAATCAGAATGGTTTAATTATCATCATAGAACCTTCACCCAGCAACTGTTCTAAGCAGATGCATAGATTCACAGCTAAGCACTGGCCTTAACTCCCAGAGTTTAGTCATTGAGAGGGAAGAGTGATATTATGAGTAAAGGGGCCAAAGCCATGATGGGAAAACCCAAAGAAACAGCTGACTCAAGCAATCAGGAGCTCACTGGCTCTAGACTGACAGCTGGGAAAGCTGCATAAGACTGATCTAGGCCCTCTGAAAGTGGGTGACATTTTTGTGACTCAGGCAGTGTATGGGGTCACTATCATGTGGGACCAGTATTTATCCCTAGTGCTTGCTAACTCTTTGGAGCCCATCCACTATGGAGGAATACCTTGCTCAGCCTAGGTACCAAGAGGCAAGCATGCTGTCAGCACCAATTGAAGGAAAAGATAGGTAGGTGCCAATGCAAGAATTCATTCAAAAACCTAAAAAGCAACATGATAACACCAGAATCCAGTGGTCACACAACAGGAAGACTTACTTGATTATCCTAACCCAGAAGAAGCAGAAGTTAGTTATTTGGGAAGCAACTGCTGGTTATTTGGGTAGGAGGTCAGGACAGGAAAAAAATCCACCAATATTTATTTATTTATTCCCTTTTTCCCCTTTCTTTTTCTTTCTCTCTCTTCTTTCTTTCTTTCATTTCTTATTTTGAACAAAACAGAATTTACTAGCCACACAAGAGTCCAATCCCAATAATTTCTAGCCTCCAGCCCCTTTCTTTCTTTTTATCTTTCCTCCTCCTCCTTGTTTATCTTAAAAAAGCAAAAGCAAAGCAAAACAATAAACAAAGGAAATGGCCAAAGCTTTCCTGAATCCCCAAGGCTTATCCAGTACATTTCTGTGACATGTTCTGTCTGTCACCCCTTCTGCTTTTCTCCCTTGTAAATGGTGGGATGGTTGCTGCTTTCTTTCCTTCATTCCTTCTTGCTCCCCTCCCCTTTCCATGACAGATCTCACTATGTAACTCTGGCTGGCCTGGAACTTTGCTATGTAGACTGATTTGGTCTTGAACTAGCAGATATTCTCTTTCTTCTGCTTCCTGAGAGCTTGGATTAAAGGCAAGGGCCACCATGCCCACCTCTGCCTGCTTCCTTATTGGTGTGATTTCTCTCTTCCTCTTCTCCCTGTCCTTTCCCCAGCATCTGCTGAGCTTTACATCTTGTCTATCCTGCTGTTTTCCTCTCTGACAGACAAAAAATAGTCCTCGATCTTCCTTTCCTTCTGAGTCTGTTACTAAATAATTTTGTTAGGGAGACTAAAAAACTAAAAAAAGGAATTGAAATTTCCATGGTAACAAAATTTCGTTGAGTTTCTAAGGTATGATATGCTTTCGGAAAGAATTTTTTGTGTGGTGTGTGTGTGTGTGTGTTTAAAGAGAAATACAGTTTTATTAATTGGCATCACTTTATTACAGAGTATTCATGATGAAAATGTCTTCATGCAAATTTATGCAAATTTAGAGGAGAAAAAACTGAAATGAAACAAAAAATCTAGACCCTAGAAAAATGTTCTTTTTAATTTTTTTCAGATCTGTGATTCTCAACCTCTGGTTCATGACCATCAGAAAACACATATTTCTCATAGTCTTAGGAACTGAGACTCTGCTAATAGCAAAATTACAGTTATGAAGTAGCAATAAATATAATTTTATATTTGGGGGTCACCATAACTTGAGAGGCTGTACTGAAGGATTGCAGCATTAGGAAGGTTGAGAACCACTGTTTTAGAACAATTTTAAATTATACCAAAAGTGAGGCAACCAAATTTTCTATACATCTGATACAAATCGAAAATACTGGAAACACATATGATATCATGTGTGTCAATAAGAAATTGTTTTAAAAAGTAGAAATCATTCTTTTGCTTTATAACTCAGCTTAGAGAAGGAGAGAAGAGAGACAGCAGGGGAGAGGGCAGAGACCACCTTTGCTTCTCATGTCCTTCCTTCCAGGTGTCATGTCATAAAGCCTAACAATGTGTGTCCAATGGTTCCGCAGGCTGTCAAGTTTAGATGCCAGTTAATGACTGCTGTTCACAGAAACAAAGAACCACTGATACATCATTATTCACCAGTTCTTTTCTCGGCCTTCAACAATAATCAAATTCTTGCCAAATGTAGGCAGATGGTTCTATGGGAAGCTATTCTGGGGTTTCTCTGTGGGTGTTTTCTATTTGCTTCCTATGTCTTCCTCTAAATTGGTTTACTCCTCTGATTTCATGGAGCCCATCAACACTAGCTTTATAAGCAGGGAGAGTGGGAGGTAAAATCCTGAGACTGGGTCTCTGAAGAATGTAGGCTAA